TTAAAATTGTGAAACAGTACCAAGGATTAGTTAGGTAAATCAACCAAATTTGCCTCGGTTGCTAGGGCACTGATTGTGGTTGCTATGGGGCCATGGCAACGTGTTATCGAGTTATAAGACCTTGATTTTAGAATTTAATCCCACCAAACCTGCTTAATATCGAAGATCCCCTGTACTTTAAAGTAATGCTTACGACGTTTGTGAAATCATTCTTAATTGTGAATAATGGAAAAATCAAATAAATGGAATGGAAAATGGTTTCAAAAAGTCGAAAAATGTGACTAAAATTGTTGTAGACTAAAAATTTTCAAAATTATGGTAACCAAATTTATTGTCAACCAAATTTATTGGCCCTAAGGTAATACGAGCACAAGGCTCAGTCTGTTCAATAATAAAAAATACTGACAATAAATCATTGCTTCTAAGTTGGTTGTAATTGTGGAGGAAAGCTTGAAGGTACACAATTAAGAATAACTAATATTAACTAACCAGGTTACAAGTAAGACAGTCAGTTTGTTGCAGAGGTACATCAGTCACAGTCATAGTGTGAACTAAAGCATCTGGCTCTGGTGTCCATCACACTTGTCCACCGACCACTGTAGATTGTAGCACCGCTTCAAATCATCTCCTAAACAGTTTAAAGCTAAAGTAGTTTAAACGAAGAGTAGCGCAATATATTTTTATCAAGAATAGACCACATTAAAATCAATAAAATCTTGGGCTGCAACTTCAAATTGCCACCTCAATCAAAATGAGCACTTGATTCCTACGTGGATAAGAACAATATCCTTTGAGGAGCTATAAAATAATGACATTATACATCTTACAATATCATACATTTAAAACACTGCGTGGGGAAGTTAAACATAACTTTCGAGATACAAATCGAAAAGTTCAAACATCCAAACAAGATATATTACTACGTATTAAGTATCTGTGCTCCCAAAAATCTTAACAACCCTCTAACACCAGGCTAGTAGCCAGCTGTTACGGTAATAGCCCAGTCCTCTAACAACCCCTTAATAGCCATAACACCACCAGTAGTTATCAGGTATAATCCACGATTCTGCCTTCACTGATTATCAGCCAGTGTCCACAATTATTTAATAAAGGATAACACTACACAGTGTAACTGTATATATATATGATATGATATTTATGATAAATACAATGTATTTAAACATAAAATCGAGGGTTTAGCTGACACCTACATTTCCCTGGTATCATAAGCCACAATTATTTTTTTACATCACACCAGTTATCCCCAATCGATGAAGATAATTTTCCAGATGTCTTAAAAAACTACAGACCAGTGTCAAACCTTGGGAAAACTAATTAAAAGAGAAGGCTACAGGAGCAATGAGCATGTAATGATGACCTCAATTGTCCTGGACAATATGCTTACAAAAGAGATCATATTTCACTTGTTATTAAGATAGTGTTCATGATATCTTCATAGCAGCTGATGAAAATATGAACATATTTCTGTTCTTCAGATTAAGTCAAAACCTTCGTCAACCAACCGAGAAATTGTTTCTTGAGGACAAAGAACTGGATGTTTAAATAGGTACCGCGACAATTGACCCCCTGACAATTGACTTCCCGACAATTGACCCCCTATGTAGTTAAACTGGGGTCAATTGTCTCGAAATCTAGGGTTTAGTACGACAATTGACCCCCGACAATTGACCCCCTATGTAATTACACTGGGGTCAATTGTCACGAAATCTAGGGCTTAGTACGACAATTGACCGCCCGACAATTGACCCCCCAACAATTGACTGCCCGAAAATTGACCCCCCGACAAGTGACCCCCTGACAATTGACCCCCCATGTAATTACACAGGGATCAATTGATCGGGTTAGGGTCAGGGTCAGGGTCAGGGTCAGGGTCAGGGTCAGGGTCAGGGTCAGGGTCAGGGTCAGGGTCAGGGTCAGGGTCAGGGTCAGGGTCAGGGTCAGGGTCAGGGTCAGGGTCAGGGTCAGGGTCAGGGTCAGGGTCAGGGTCAGGGTCAGGGTCAGGGTCAGGGTCAGGGTCAGGGTCAGGGTTAGGGTTAGGGGGGCTAATTGTCGGGGGTCAATTGTCGGGGGGATAATTGTTGTGGGGTCAATTGTCGGGGGAAAATTGTCGGGGGGTCAATTGTCGGGGGGTCAATTGTTGCCCACCCGTTTAAATACTATCTGCAGCTAATGTACATGATTCTAAAACTAATATAAATAATTCTAAAACTCAAATTAAAGTCTTTCGGTCTAATAGTAATATAGTATTGCTCAATGAGATGGTGTGGAAATCGCTCATAAAACATTAGTAATGTTTGTGCCTACTATTAAAAGCCAGGGAGTGTTTTAGACGAGATTTGTAGTGAAATCAACAAGAAAATGTACGAGGAAATTCAATCTTGCAATTTGATGAACAAGAGATCAGTAACGAAAGAGAAACCATGCGAATGCTTGGAAACTGTTTGTTGTATATTGGACCAGTTCAGTATCACCTGGCTAAGGAAGGCGATACCTCTTGCAGAAGAAATTGACAAGTTGAAAAGTGAGAAGATTTCAGATCAGAGTATTATCATCGATCTTCAGAATAAGGCTATTGAAAAAAGCAACAAACAGCTCAAATCAATGCAGAATACCGTGCAAACGGAGATGAAAAGCTACTCTTCAGTCGTTAGAAAAAGCATCAATGCTGCTTTCGCCCCGAAGAAGATCCACGCTGCAGTTAAAAAAGTAGAAAACCAGATTGAGTGAAGCAAGAACGTAATCATTTATGGTCTATCAGAATCAGAGAACGAGCAACTGCTGAGTAATGTTGAGGAGGTTCTGAATGAAATTAGTGAGAAGCCTTTAGTCAGGGACTGCTGCTGTATTGGAGCTCCGAAAGAAAATGTATCCAGACCAGTAAAGTTCACATTGAGCAGTTCTGACCATGCAACACCAGTGATCAGAAACACCAGTACACTACGCTCAAAGGAGGGGAACAGCTCAGTTTACATCTGCCCTGATAGGACTGCCACGGAACGAAAAGCTTATAAAAAGCTTGTAGAAGAACTGAGACTGAAACGAACTACAGAGCCTGACAAGTTTCATAGTATTAGGAACAATAAGATAGTCAGCTTGTAGAGAGTATAACTAGAGGCGAGACTGGCTAAAATTATTATTCCTACTTATCTTATAAATTTAAACATTATTGTTGATTTTGATCTTGAAGGGACCATAATTTTTGAGGCCATTACTTGCCGATGATGTCAATGTTTATTTCAGGATAAATGTATCCTTGTATCCTTGTATCCTTGTATCCTATCAGGTCCAGTTACTACAAAATGCCGTAGCCAAAGCTGTTGATAGGCAATATAAACATTACCATCTTGAGGATGAACTGATCAATCTTTACTGGTTGGATAATGGATACAGAGAAGAGGATTGAATTCAAAATCTCACTACAAAATCTCACAAATCCATACTAGGATTGGCTCCAACTTATCTGCAAGATATGTCGGATTTATGTTTGGTGTAGGTAGCCTCTCTGTAGTAGCTTCTAAGATGTACAATCAATTTGCTAATTCTTTGAAATCATTAAAGCTCTTCTAAAAACTTTGTCGAAAAACTATTCAAGTCATATTTGGTGAAAGACCTTCAATTTAAAAAATATAACCTCATCGAATATTTTGAAATGGCCACAACCCATTTAAATATTTTAGTTTCTCTTATTCCGTCACATCTTACTATACATTTCTAACAGAGTAATCGTATAGTATCAATTAAACCAATTCAGTATCAACAAACCACGATAAACTATGTAGAAGATAAGAGGTATGTCACAAATAGAGCCGACTCTAGAGGAAAAAGCATATGATAAAAACGATAGGAAATAGTATGAATGGGTACTCCACATCAAAGAGAATACATGAAAACATAGTTAGTAATCAAATTACACATCAAAAAGATAACCAAATAGGGTGAAAAGGAGTTTCGAAATGCGACAATAATACTGAAAAACAACCTAGGTATTCTTGTGACAATATGACAGTATTTGCTTTAGCGCTCGATTTTCATACCACGGTGTAAATATTCGAAAATATGCGCGGCGCACCTAAAATTTTGGTTCCATTAAACATGAATTTTTTGGTCAAAATTATATTAAATATACTTTAATTAATTGTTATTACAAGATATAAGTTTAAAAATTTTCAAAATATAGCATATAAGTACCAAAAATAAATTGCGCGCAAAAAAGTCAAAATTTTTACCACTTTTTTGGATTTTTACCTCAGAACAAATAGAGGGATTTGTTTTATTTTTACACAATCTTGTGCGGCTGTCTTTTAGCTATCTTCATGCAAGTTTTGCCGACATACCAACAAAATTAACTTGCTCAAAATATCAAAAAACATGGTTTTTTGGCCTATTTTTGGCCCAAAAATCGGTTTTTTGCAATTTTACCCCAGAACAATCAGTCCAATCATTTTAAAACCACTTTCAATCGATTCTACGGTCAAAAATACGTCTAGTAAGGTGTATCTGGGGTCCCTAGCGTATCGAGCAGACAATGCCCGTAAGAGCCTCTACTAGGGGGACTCCCAACCCACCGCTTCGGCGGGTAGTTGATGCACCGATCACAAGCAAGAGCCACTTTGGTCTACTTGCTGTGAGGTGTCTCAGCTACATGGGTTGGGGGTCCCCCCTTTTTTTCTTTTTTTTTGTCTATTTACGATTAACGACGATAAAAAATCATTTATTCTCTCTATAAGAGGAGAAAGAGGGATAAAAAGTGGTAGTATAGTTAAAATAAGATTTTTATTGAATTTTTATCTAGGGTTATTGTTATATTATGTGTATATTGTTTGAATAATTTCTCTTTATTCTCTCTAATAAATCACTTCACAATTTTCTGACATAGACAAGAATCCAGGATTGAAGTTACATGTTTGGCTTGAACCTGTTGTTTTGTCAAAGCCACCAGGCCCTTAATTATAGACATGGAATAATCATTTTCCATTCATAGATCATCATGTTTCGTGTATTTCCTTTGCCTGACTGTCCTGTCACCTGTTAGTACGTAATTTGTAACCCACTGTTGCATAGAATGGAAAAGGAATTTAAAGCTGCTAGGAAAAAGATAAGGATCCATCTCAAGGCTGCAGAGTTCGAAAATGCTCTTTTAGTTTGCAAGGTTTGTTTTTTACCAATATATTGAATGACAATCTTTCGATTTTTATCACGTAATAATTTAGGGGGAGGGCAGGTCACAGGGTATTTAAATGGTTACGCTAGTAGAATTGTGACATTAGCTATAAAACTGTAAGTGGCGGGGGAGAGGTGGTTAAAAAAGGAAACAAAAGAATTACATATGAACGACCCTTAAAACATAAATCATTTCAGGAACTGATATCACGTGATGTTCATTCAGCAGAGATTTTCTACTATCAAGGACTTTGTTACTACCGTTTACAGCAGCTTCCAACGGCTGTACTATCTTATGAACGAGCACTTTCCATTGATGCAAATTACTTAGATGCACTGAAGGGCCTAAGTCTTTGTATGCTCAATGCTGATGATGATAGGGCACCTCCCCAGGTACTGAAAACAGAGATTTAGCTGATTAATGTTATTAAAACCAACAAAATTTTGCTGACCTAAACTTGTTGGTGTGACTGATTGCCTGGAACAGATCTATTCATAACTACTGAAATGTTTCAGAAAAAGCTTTCAGTGCTAAAGAAGCTTCTCGAAGTGGATCCCGAAATAAAAAATGCTGAACCAATGAAAAAACAGATCAGTCTCTGTCACTGGAAGGTAGCTGAATATGATCTTTCTTTTCGTAAGTTGCAGAATTGAGAAACTAACACCTAATATTCACCTGAATAAATTTGAGATCAATTAAGTTGTAAAACAAAGTTATTTAGACATATGACCAGCGTTAGATTCTCAAGTTCAGCTAAAATGTATATTAACTGACAATCATATATATAATTTACATTAAACACTGACATATATTTCTTACAGAGACTCTGTTATGTTTATCCCTTGATCATGCGAGGGAAGTACAGCGAATAATGTTCACTGAGGTCTCCAAAACGAACAGCGCTCTATGCTACAAGCAACTTCATTTCATACTTGCCAAGGATAAGGTTAATTTCGTAATAATCTCTTTTATACTTTAATCTTTCAACTTAATCTGGGGCTAAAGATTGAGCTCTAGGCATACTGTGCCTCAGTAAAAACGTTTCATTCTAGCTTATCATATATTTATCCTTTTTCAGGATCTTATGCCCACCAGCAACAAAATGAAATTCTACTATGAGTACGGATCATTTTTGAATGAGCAAGGAGAAGATCCCAAAGATCTAATAAACTTGATGGTCTCTAATCTTGATTTCTACAGACAGAATGGTGAGTAAAAACAATGGTACCTCAATGACGAAAAACCTGGTAAAAAATGTTGTAAGTGTCACAATATTACATACTTTTTACTAAAAACATAGCAAACAAACAAGTAAACCAAAATGCCCAAATTTAATAAAAGTTTCTCAGTTAGAGTAGATTCCAGTGGAGGCTCCATAGGATCAGACGAGACAGGAGTACAAGTTACCCCTAATACCGAAGAGTGGTGGCCTTCTCAAACACTGTCAGCTCAGCTGTGGATTATATGGGATCAAATAAGCGACTGGAACGGCTCTCCTAAGCTTCAAATTCCGTACGGTTTCAATAATAATGTTTTCACAGCTAGGCTGTGGTCAATGTTTTTTGTTCAAAATTTAAAAAATGTATTCTATTTCTATCACTGATTTCATCAATTCTTCGAACACATCTACTTTCTACGAGCGGGTTTTCTAGTTTTGCTATATTTCAGAGAGGATGTTAGCGTCTCACTAGAAGACACTTCACTGATCCTAAGAAAAGACAAATGTACTGCTAAAACGATCTTCCATCTGTTACAAGATCTGGACTATGACAAATGTCAGGACGTTATAGACCTGTGCACTGGTGACATGATGAACAATGCCACGTGTAGCCATTATAACAGCACGTGCAGCTTCCATGACGAGATTTGTACTGTGCACGATGGTAACCCTACTGTCATGTTTTTGAGAAGTGTGGCTCGTACCACTATCAGGAAAGACGTCGAGAAAATACCTGACAATTTAGCGTGAGTCTTCTTAATTTGTTTTATCTTTAGCTTAACCAGGGATTTAATTATCATATTATTAATATAATATGTTGATTGTTGTATCATATGTTGGTGTATTGGTTGTTCATTATTTATTTGTAGGCTCACGACCATTATAGGTGGTGCTGAATTTCATGAATCCTGTATGTGAAACATTAAAAGTATACCGATTAATTTCCCTTATTTTCAGAATCCTAGAGAAGATTCTGCAAGAAAGGCCGACTTATCACAACAGTTCGCTACTGAAACTAGTTGCGAGGTTCCGATGTTATGTGATCCACACTTTCAACCTTCCCAATGACCTCGTTTACTTGAAGGAGTGTGCCCTTCAGGACCCTATTATAGAGGCTTGGTTAGCCCTTATGAAAAACTCAACTACTATACTCACCTGCGAACATGTGAGTTTTATTTCAGTAAAAAACTCTGATTTATTTTACCACGAAAAATCATCTTCTGGTTATGAACAAATCCTTTTATCTGCTTGTAATGTAACAAGTCCTAATAAAATGAACTAATCTATTCAGCCCCACCCGATGGTCGATGCAGTAAAACAGTACATTAAGAAAAACACAGACAGACACGTGAACATCGAGAAGTTACTCTCGGTCAGAGCCGCTCATCCTAAAAACTTTACCTACTCTACACTTCTTCTGAAGGTTTTATAAAATTTCTTAGAATCTAAATGACATAAATTTCAATTCGATGTTTCACGTTTTTGTAAACTTCATTTCACTTTTTGTTTCAAAGATAATGTGGATTCTGAAAAGGGTATTATTCGGTATCAAAAATATTAGTAACGTTACAACGTTACAACGCTATTGCGACAATAATCTTCCTATTAATCACATGTTCTGTACGTGTTATAAACACATCCATTTGTTAGGTGTTAAAAAAGGAAGTGGAGGAAGGGGAATATGACAAAAGTGAATTTGAGAAGATTGTCAACAAGTGTTATGTTAACGACAAGAAGAATCCCACCATACTCTTTTACCTAGGCGACATTTCCCGAGTTAGTGTACAAATATTTCAAAAACAAAAACATATCTCATTATTATGTATTGACGAGAGTTTTAATTCTGGGATTACTTTTAAGAACAATGTCAGTGTTCAAAAGAGTACATTAGGCACATAAACGTAAACATTGTTTTACAGGAGCAGCATAAAGATCCCATAGCAGCAGCGAGATATTACGAGAAATCAATAAGAATCAGTGGTAGCTTGGATGTGTTGAAACTTCTAGATTCACTCCCTCAAACAGACGATATGATCAAAGAACTCAATATCAAGAGTCATGACCATATACTAAAGGTACGTACGGTAATATGCAATATGAACTGTTTCAGTTTTTATTTTTCCTCGGTTTTTATGAAAACGTAAGTGTAACATAAATTAATACCTGGATAAGGTATAACGACGTTTTAAAATTCACTAAGTAAACCTTAGTTTTAATACCCAGTTTCTTTCAGACGTCGCGTGACCACAAGTTGCATGTAAGACTGGCAATGTTGCACACTAACAAACCCAACCAAGCTATAAAGCAGCTTCAGCAGGCTCTTAAGATATCCCCGGTTAGTACTTTATTCAACAACACTAACTTGTTATTATAAAAGTTCCTCTCTTTTTTCAAACTCTTTACTGTATTGCTCTCTTATCTGTAATAGTTGTACACGTTATCTATATCGGTTATACCGATAGTACATTTAACATTATTGTAACTGTTTTAAACACAACCCTATCACCCAGGACGCGTTAACATTAGAACTGCTAGCAGAAAAGTACCTGTCATTAGGCAAGTACAGATCAGCCTACAAGTCGTACAGTAAAGCGGCCGAGCTGGAGCCTACCTCTTACAGACAGTACAGTTTAGCAGCCATACTCTCCAACTAGGTCGTCCTAATGAAGCTCTAGTTCTGTTCCAGGAGGTTCTGGAGAGCAACAGATCGTACGGGCCAGCTCTGCTAGGCTGTGTTAAATCTGTGTACCAGTTAGCTGTTAACTGTGTTCTCCACTCTGCTAGGTACGCTCACGCTGTGTCCCTTGCTAATCAGTGTGTTCAGTACCTAGATCAGGTGCTGCACTTTGAACCGAGGTGGTCTGTTACCTGGAAGTATTTGGGGGATGTTTGTCTGCTGTTAGTGCAACTCAGGGACTCTACACTCACTCTACCTAACAATATAAAGACTGCTCTAGATGTTGAGGGGCAGGAGATATCGGATAAAGGTCTGGTTACTTTAGCAGTTAAATCTTACAACAAAGGATTGGAACTGGAGCCTGGTTGTTCTGAGTATCTATTAGATCTAACGAGATCATATCTAGAACTGGCAGGATACCAAGAGGAGTACCTGTTGCACGCGCTGACCCTCGCTAAACGCGCTGTTCGTCTCAGACCACGTGACCACCTGGCATGGAACATGCTCGGAGCTGTATGTATAAAGCGGAAGGTATACAACCTGGCTCAACACGCCCACATCAAGTCTCTCATGCTCAATAAGGACGATAACCCTGCAGCCTGGACCAACTTGGGCTTACTCTACATGTTGAATAATGAGTTCCAGCTTGCTAACCAGTGTTACTCAGAAGCACAAAGTAATGATCCCAAGTACGCGCAGTGCTGGGTTGCCATGGCGTACCTTGCCCGTCAGATGGGCTACGAGGACGAAGCTGGGAGGATTTTCAAGGACCTGATTCAAGACAGAGAGAGAAGAACAACAGTTGAAGGTACGCTGGAGTACACGGTTAAGTTCTGTGCGAGTGAAATGAGTACTGAAATGATACACGAGGTACTGACATTGACTACTCGGTGTTCTTATCTGAAACACTCAGCTGATTGGCTACTTTTCAACATATCAGGAGTGTTGAGCGAACAGCTAGACCTCCACAAACAAGCTCTTCAGCACTATGTAAAGGCAACCACTCTAGCCCCTACAACTGAAGTAAGGGTGGAACTGAAACGGAACATTGACAGAGTGCAGTGTAAACTGGGCAACTACTCCACTCTAAATGAGAACAATCACAGCTTGTGGCTGGCACTGGCTCATATGAAACGAGGGCAGTATGGAATGGCATCTAGTATTCTAGACAGCATGTCTGGTAATGAAGGTGCTGCTCAGTTGGATGTGAGCGTATTCCAGGCTGTTCTCTGTTGGATATCAGAAGATATGAAGTCAATATCTAAACACCTGCCGACCACTAGTAGTGATGTCTCACAAGTTATTAAATGTCTCATGTTGTCTGTAGATCCGCCAAAAGAACTTCGCAGCTCTATTAATTCCAAAGACTCTGATCTCCAGGCCAAGTTCGCCTGCCTTTCCCTGAAACTTCAGTTGCAGTCTGACTCTTCACCTTCAACTGCAATAACAGAGATGTTTTCTAAGATTAACGCCATACCAGTCAACTCTAAAGAAAGTCAGTACCTGCTAGCCAAGTATCTTATTATCCACCAAATTGAAATGAGCAGAGCCCGGCAGATATTAGAAAGACTGATGAAACTCGGTGCTCTGAGGGAAGATATATTCGAGCTATATTTGGAGGGTGTTATGTGTGATGTGTCACGTGGTGTTACTGACATGGACACTGACAAAAACTCTGGTAGTAATGGGACAGATAAGACCACTGATAACGGTGACACTGGGAGCGGGGAAACTGATAGTGATGAAGATATTATCAGAAAATATACTCTCAAATCTTACCACATGTTTCCATGGAGACAGAATTCTAAGTCACTTTTTCAGCGCTATATAACATCTTAATTTAATATTACATTAAGATCGACATTTATGTTATTATTTCCATTTTGGGAAGTTTGTATTTGTTAGATTGTTACTGGAGCAGAAATAACAATTTTTACTGTGATCTCTTTAAAGTAACTATTGTGTTGGGGATATTTATACTTTTCAGATGCAATTTTTCAATGTTTAAGTTTTTGAGTTTTATTGAATATCGTGTTATTTATACATATATGGACACGTTCATAAAAAAGATGAAATTCAGCCAAAATTTGTTAACTGTGATTTTTGTGTCTTCTTATCAAAATGAGAAACATGATAATCATCCCATGGTTAAGTTAAACGTTCAAATTTTGCAATGCTGAAATCGCCAAATAATTTTTTTCCTTAGTTACGGAGTGATAGTCGTTTAGTTTGGGGCTCTGAAAATAACACAAAAGTCACAAAATTTCTATTTTTGGTTTAACACAACCTCTATTATGGGGCCTATTTTTCATTTTGTATGGTCAATATTGATAGTACAAGTTCTTATCAGTCATATGATACGATTCTACACGTTTTTATTCGTTAAGAGGGTCAATTTAGCACAATAATCACATTTCAATGCAAAAAATGGCAGATTTTCAGAGGTGAATTTGAAGTGCTTAATTCACTAATTGGATATTAAAATGTTGCTAGATGTCATCGTGTGTGTATACATTCTTGAGTTTCGTGATTCTGCTTGCCAAAGTGGGGCTAAATTCCACACAATAATCACATTTCTGTGTAGTGTGTTACTAGGCAGTAAATTTGTCAGTACTTCGTGTGTTTGTTTTTGTTTACCGTGTTTTAGGTTTTGAACTGCTGCTATGTATCATGAATTTGACTAAACACTTTAAATAGTAATCTGAATTGAAAACTGTAACACCAGGCAAAAACTTAACACGAAAATCACATATTTAAAGTTACTGTGACTATCAACTTCCTGTTCAGGCCCATTTATCGTACATTTTTTCATTGCTCTTTGGTCTATATCTCTTATTGAGACCATTTTAGACTTGAAAAGTTGGTTTCAATCGATAATCGGTCAATTTTTAGCACAATAATCACACAAGATAAAGTCCTAACTTATTTTCTATTCTTGTAGTTTTCAAGTCAAGTGTGATATTTGAAGCGGAAATCGGTTTTGAAGCTATCAAAATCGTTTATAATTGATTAATGAACAATAGTGTCAGGCATGATGACAAAAAAGGCCGACTTTGAACACAAAAATCACGTATAAAAGGCGATTGTGACTATCTAATTGCAGTTTCAGCCCATTAACGATTATGTATGCGTTTTCTATGCTATCAAATCTTTTTCTTGAGACAATTTTAGACCTGAAAAGTTCATTGAAATCGATATTCGGTCAATTATTGGCACAATAATCACACGAAAAAATCTCGACCTATTTGCTGAACCACAGAGTTAATTTTATTCTGCGTTCTATATCATCAACTTTTATTGTCTCTAGTTAATGAAGGAGTTTCGGCATGTGTGCTGTGCCCAGCTCAAGATTTATGCGAGATTGCGAGCCGGACTCATCGCACAAAATTTGTAAATAAATGAGGAAACAGAAAAAGTTTAACTTAAAAGTTGAGGTAATTAGGAACTTAACATGTATTTTATACTCTTAACGTGTATTTTATCACTTGTTTATAGCGTGAAAACTTCGACGTAACGCGCGCGAGATTTTTGCCAGATTTTTGCGAGTTTCGTTTAAATCTCATAGCTAGGCTCACGATATCGTGAGATTCTCTGCGAGATTTCGGCACCCTCTTTCAGCACTACATATTCGGTCGCGCGCTTGCATTTTCATCGCTTTTCAGCGTGTTTATTCATTGTACTGTCTAAGTCTTAAAGGATACTAGTTGTTATAAGATCAAGATTCACAGTGGTTACTATAGTTACCATGGTTACCATTAAAGGAGGTACTATTCCTGGCTACAGTCTACTCAATCTTTCTCAGAATATACTTGATACTGCCATAGGCATAGTGAATTAAAAGTTTGAGAAAGGGTCTCTTCAACTGGAGAACTGACTTATTAATCCTAGCAGGTAATTAACTCTGGATCCTCATCACATTGATTCCATTCTAAATTCTAGCCATAAACAAAACAAACATTACCAGATAACTCCGTTTACAATAATTTGACATGTTCCAGTGTGAACGAGGCCTTCCCCGGACAAATCCTTAAATGCCAGTCTTCTCTTGATCTTAGTTCTCTAGATGAAGTACGAACAGTATAATCTATCGGATAACGTATATAACAAGGTGCTCTGATGATAATTTTAGTAAAATAATTAATAATTGCCAAAAGAATGACCGCTGATGAGACTCGAACCCGAGTCAACTGCTTGGCGAGCGCGCCCTGAACCATCGGGCTACGTGAGGCTTACTATAATTACAATATGTAACATAATATAATTCATAAAAATACGCACGTAAATTTTTCGTTATTCATGGATCCAATAACAGTGACATACTTTTCGCTTACAAAGGGACTCGCGAAATCTTTTTAAATAGAAAATAATTAGTGGGGCAAGAAATTGCAGGCTGGAGGGGGGGGGGGGGTGGGTGGGGAGTACATTTCGCCACTACACGTGACACGTGAAAATCGCACTTCTAGTGTCAAAATCCAATCTCATCGCACTTTTTTTAGAATCTTGATAGGGGGTGCTGTGTGATATTTGAGTCAACAGTGGCACCAACTTACCAGTTTTAACGTTTTTTAACAGCAATTTCAGATCGATTTTATAGTTCTATGATACAACACAGTTGGTCTTTCTCTATCATACATATTGCAATTTATTGGATTTAATTTAACCAATTGATGTGATTTTATTGTCTGAAACAAGCCCTATATCACTTGAACATAAGATAGGAGAATCAAACAAGCTAAGATTCATCATTTATATTCTATTTCAGAAGATAATTAAGTGACGATGGCAAATTTGAGAAATAAACTCAATCTCTCGCATTTCAAACTTTCAAACGTGATAAATGTGTTTTATATGTAGCCTTACATGCTCAGAACAGTCTAAGATAATTTCAAATGTAGCAAAACAAAATAGTAACAGTCTAAATGTCTAATTATGAGTCTAGAAAAATGATTAAAACTTTGTTTTAAAATTAGATGTGATTTTTGTGTCGATTGTGACCGTTTAACAGAAAATAATTGATTAATTTCTTGCTTGCGCCATATTTTGAGCTGTAGAAAATTGTTTCTGAACTTTGATATTGGCTATCTATCGTTAAAAACGTTAATTTCCCCAAATTTGGCCATATTGTGATTTTTTTGCTCTATCTCAGCCATTTATATGTGACTCTCTGACCCTTTATCGCTTAACTTACCTAAAAGTGTGTATTAAACACCTTCAAGTACGTTGCACAACAATCTGGTTTTAAATGAATGGGTGAGTGGCTTCCAAAGTCACAAAAGTGAGTTTTGTGTCATAACTTGCCCAAATATCAATATTTGTTAATTATTCTGCCAACATAGCCTTCATTATGTAAAAACAAGCATATTCTGAAAGTTTGGTTGAAGTTGGTCAATATTAAGGTTCATTTTTGACAAAAAACAAATTTTGGCTAAAAAAATTGAGAGCTGAATTGCACCTTTTTTATGAACGTGTCCATATAATGAAATCTGTCGACTCTGATACATATTGCTTTATGATCTATTGGATAAAAAGTTGATATAATTTTTTCAGATATGCTCATCATTACTTTTTCTATTATGATTATCCTGTTCAGGTCAATGAGTTATGTTACATGGATAAAATAGAAGAGTTACAGGCAAAGAAAAGAAAGGCAGAAACAATTGGACTAATACTGCAAACAAGAAGATTACAAAAAGAGAAAGAGAGAAAAGATCAAGTAGATTGTGCGATCAAAAAAGAACCATCGTATTCTTGTGATCAGATTGAATATCATGGTGAAGATCGAAATCAGTCCAGAGATATAAAGAGAGCTGAAGCAATTGGAAGAATACTACAGTTAAGAAGATTACAAAAAGAGGGAAAAGATAAAGTAGATTGTGCGATCAAAAAAGAACCTTTACTTTCATATGATCAGATTGAATATCATGATGAAAATATCAATAGTGAAAATACCAATAGTGAAAACATCACTGGTGTAAACATCAATGATACAGAACCAAATCCGTCCTGTGAAAAGGTGAAATTTGTGATTGAGACTGAGGGAAACATAGACAAAATCACAAAAGACTTTTTACACTCGTTGGGAGAGAACAGCAGCAGCTTTAAAATGAATGTAAAAATAGGTTTATTTAAATTTGAAATTAGCAATGATGATTGATATTGTTAAATGTTTTGGTTTACTCTTATCATTTTATATCCTAGCTAATTTGATCATGAGCTGGAGCCCTTTCTTAACTGTATTTTTTCCCAGATTTTAAAGTTAATGAATTGTATACTGGTATTGAAGAGATGTTAGAGCAGAGTGCTTATCATATTTATTAAACATTTCATCGTTACATTTTGAGTGTCAAGATATAAAGCTTAGACTAAAACTGGTTGAACAATTTTGTGTTGAATTTTTTTCAATTGAATCTTTGCAGTCTATATTAAAATCTGTTATATAATGTTCATGTAATCGGGTTTTGTATATGACCCCCAAAGAAAACCAAAGCATAATCAGTTGTATTTGATACACTTATTATTTTGTATAATATTATAATTTATATTAACCCAAGATGGGTCCTTACTCACCTCATTTAGCAGAACGAGTCCCAGTACTTTCAGTTTGGAATAAAAATAAAAATAAAAAAGACGAGACTTTAAAAAATCGACGATACATAATAATAATAATTAATAATAGGCCACAGAAAAAAAACCAAGCAACCTATAAAATATAGTGACAGTGTAATGACTAATGGTGTGTATTGTAACGGTAATATCCGTGTATAGTAATGTCTGGTCCGGAGTACACGAGCCTACCAGCAACAGATGTGGACAACAACATGAGTGGCAACATATTCGTTCCTAACACACCCGGCTCAGATGAGAACACACTGGATGAACCCATATCCACTACATTGGTTAGCTATATGATACGTCTTAACCCGATTAAATTAATGTTGTCTTTTAATGCGAATATTGACTGTGAATTTACAGTCGCATTCAATATTCTACAGTGTAGATATTACAAACTAAATGGTTATCTAGAAGAATTAACCGACTATACGAACCAAGCCACTCACTTCACCCCTTATTTCAGATGAGGGATATAAAAGCGGTGGGCAGCAAGTTTTACCACGTGATAATACCACGTGACGGGAGTCTGTTACTCAATGATTGGGACCTGTGGGGACCTCTCATACTCTGCACTCTTCTTGCTATCATTCTCCAAGGACACAGTGGTTAGTGGTTATTGTAGATTATAGCTAAAAGACTGTAATATACCTCAACCTATTCTATCTGTTTAATCATTAAGTTCACTGTGCCCTGTATGTCAAGTTGTAATAAATTCAGCTAAGCGAGATCATGGTCTAGTTGTTCAGCTTATTTTAGTTGATTACAAGTCGGGTAATAACATTTCCCTCAATAACACGTATTTCAGATGGTAAACATGACGGTGGTCCACAGTTCGCACAAGTATTTGTCATCATCTGGGTGGGAGCGGGGGTAGTTACACTCAACTCTAAACTCCTGGATGGCAGACTGTAAGTCATCTTCTTAGGTACTAATTGTTGTACATAATATGTATGTTATGTACATGTCTACATTAGTCTCACAAAACTAAACTGCCTAACTGTACTGTTAGAACTGGGAAGAACCTTGTATCGTTACATTAGTAATGAGCTAAACATTCCAATACTTAACACGTGCTCAATTACTTTACGTGGTAACTGTACCATTATTTCAGGTCCTTTTTCCAGAGTATATGTGTACTGGGTTACTGTGTGTTTCCCCTTGCAGTGGGAGCAGTTTTAGTAAAGATGTTCAGTTTGTTTGGTCTAAAGAAAGGACTTATTGCGTTCATTGTGGACTTTGTGGTTGTTGGCCTGGCTTTTGTATGGGCCATGTTTGGTGAGCCGCCTAATTTTATTGTTGAATTCAACATGATTCAATATAAACGAATACAGAATCAACTTTGTCAAGAAATTAGAAATTTGTAAATCGTAATGTCTGAAGGGTGATAATTGAAATACTCAAATAACTGAGGTGAACTGGCATACTCAGATGGAAAGTTCATTCAACATTAATTCTAAAACTCTCTTTTAAAACTAAACCATGTTTCAGCGGCTGTATGTTTTCTGAAACCGACCAATAACCCGGGAAAGAAGATAATATCAACCTATCCAGTGGGACTCTTTTACTTTGTCATAGCTTGGCTTGTCATTTCTCAGCCTTGACTTGGTCTTCAGATCTATATTTGAATCAGTTTCTTTTTCTAACTAACAGGGATTTGATAAGTATAATGAGGTGCATGATTAATGTAGAATTCTGCTGAGGTTATTTCGACATGTTTACAGTGGAGTTAGTGGTATGGTGGCTGATGGTACTAGGGGTAAACTATTTGATCGAGTATTTGTAATGATTTGTTTGCTGCGCAATAACTTATTAACTTAGTAACTTTAGTTGCAATTTGATGATCATCGTGGCTTTGGTGTACCATTTTACAAATTAGAAGCTGCAATCTTTTGGTCGCTCCATTTCTATTTTGACGTGATGTGCAACGATTTCTCGTCATACAGTCTTATTGAGTAACCCCAAACGCGGAAACTACAAGGAAGAACATGGCTAAGTTATTATTAAGCTGCAGTTTTCATGATTTTAAAAATTGATTACATAATTGAGCATTGAATAAAGAACCTGCTTAATTTGTAAATCTTCCTCTTACTGTCTGGAAATTAATATAAATTGGACATAACAGGTTTTTTGTCGTTTTGAAAGTTTGTCTTTCATTGTTGGCTCGAAATATGTAAATTAAGAGTACTGTTTTAAATTTCGAAATGTTATTCTGTGATCTGTAAATTATTTTTATCAAATTATTCATTAGCTTGTTTGCAATGAACATACTAGATGATTATTTGCTGTTCACTCTTCACAAAAAATAATAAACTGACAATTCAGAAACAAATCTCCACCGCTAATAAATAATCTCATATTTCCAATTTATTTAAAAGTACCAATCAACAACAATAACGCCATTATTTACCCACAACAAATTCTAGCAACCAACCATGACTCGCAAAAGAGACAACACCCCCAACACTGGTAATTATCTCCACCTCATTAAAAAGGACCAGGCTAGCAAGAAGAAAAGCTCGCTGGTCAGCAAGATTCCTGTGTATAAAGCACTGAGACAACTTCTCCTGAGACGTGTCAACAGACAGGGTATGAAGGAGCTTGTTAACGAGACTGAGTAGATTACACTCCACACTTCTTGTCTGGTCAACCAAAAACACTCTTAAACAAACATTCCAAACATTCCTGGAGCCTTGAAGTTTCAGGCACCTTCGGAGTGTGTGTGCGTGTGTAATAAGTAGTTACAGTTGATCAGTCAACTTTTCTATTTATAAATTCTAACTTGGAGCATTATTTATATAATGATTTATTTAAGATTTTTTACACTACTCTTTAAATTGAATCCCCTTGAATAATTAATTGATGAATATTTGACTTAAATTTGACATGCTCATAATGCTATAATGCATTTAAATATTCATTATTCAAATGAATGATGTATAATAAATGTTTTTAATGATGTTTTTATCCAATTTTTACCCAATTTGTTTACTATTTGGATGTAAGTTTAATAAATTATTATTGTTTTAACCATTTCTAAATTTGATCAATAATAACTTAACTTTTTTCACTGACTCAGTTGAACCATTGATTTATTGCTAGATTTATGTCTAGTCGGATCGATTAAAAATTAGATATTGATTGAAAATATTGTTTGCTATTTGATTGTTAGCAAGAAACTGCAGAATTGCTGTGTAGCTGTGTACTACTACTAACTTTATATTCGACGTTTCAGGATGCCAATCTTCCACTTGCAAACAAATGTGAAGAATGTCCCTCAGAATTTCATGTCTAAAATTTCTAAAGAAATCGCAACTTTAACGCATAAGCCGGAATCTAAAGTAATGGTGATCGTGAACGATGGTGTTAAAATGTGTTTTGGTGGCTCAGGTGAATTTGTCTAATCTTACTTTCTGACATTATAAATCTCACAAAGAACACTCTAATCTTAAGTCTGTAAAACGTTTTGGAATCCCATTCTTTAATTCTAGTGAAATATTTTGTCCAACAAAGCAATATTTTCAGATGCTCCTGCGGCCCTGATCCAGTTTCATTCTATCGGCATGCAGATACATGATCACGCCAACGTTTCGGAAATATTCGCTAACCTCCTTAAAGATATAGGTATTAAATCCGCTGAAAATAACTTCTATTGATCAATTGTACATAGTAAATTTTAGTTGTAGGGAATTGGATTGTGAGATTGTAATGCTTAGTGTTTAATTAGTGGTATTAATTAATTAGTGGTATTAATTAACGTTTCAACTCAGGAGTATCTTATGATCGTCACTATATCCAGTTTAATGCACCCCAACCTACACACGTCGGCAAACTCGGCACAACTGTCGCTGAACTTAACAAACCCAAAGAGGATATTCTACACTTTTAGTCAATTGTTTACTTTTGACTAATTACACTAATTAATAGTTGAGTTGTTCTTTTCATTCAGATTCATCTACTTCTGATCAGGCTATCTTTTAATTTATCTTACATGTTTGGGTCTGGCAGACTGTACAGTTCGTGTTTTTAACATTTTCTTGTGTTTTTGTTGTTCTTTCCAGTGATCACATGAATTTTAAATATTTGTTCAGATTTCAGATCCGGTGTGGACGCCATATTTTATAATTTTAATCGCTCTATGCATTGATTATACTTGGAATAATACAATGCTGAAGTTTATTAATTGTACTATGTACAATGTATTCAATTTGCGAGCGATCATTTATATATGACAGTTTTTATTGCTTTGATCATGTTTATATTATTGTCTATATTTTTAAAAGATACAATAGAAACAAATTCTTGAAAAAGATTTTCGTTTTTGGATAATTCTAATTGAAATTGATTGATTTTCCCTGTACTTAGCTGACTTTAATTAAAATTTATTTGATGATTTACTCACCCAACATTTAGTGATCAAGTTACTGACAGTATGGGTAAAATGAAGAAAACCAAGAAGTTCGGGGCAGTGAAACGCATGATACAAGCCTCAGACCCACGGCTCAACAAAGGGAAAGTAACTGAAGAGAAAGCGAAACCAGAAACTGAAGTTCGTCACGTGGACAAGCCCTCAAGCGCTCTCTTTTTCAGATATAACACCCAACTGGGACCCCCTTATCACGTGCTCATAGATACGAACTTTATCAACTTCAGCATCAGGAACAAGCTTGATATTTGCAGTAGTATGTTGGACACATTATACGCTAAGTGTACACCTTATATTACGGATTGTGTTATGGCGGAATTGGAGAAACTTGGGGCTAAGGTTGGTGTTTTTAAGATGTTATGATTTATTATACCATACGCTAATCTCGATCTTCTTTAAACAAATCCGAGCTTTTTCAGATTAGTTTCAATTTATCAGATGCGCGTACATCGCCAGTCTTCCTTATCGCATGATTATTAAAGATAACAAGTAAATGTCCATTTGCAAATATATTTACTTTAACAGTATAATATTTCCAGTACAGAGTGGCTCTAAGAGTTGCTAAAGACCCCCGTATAGAACGACTTATTTGTACCCACAAAGGCACGTACGCTGATGACTGTCTTGTTCAAAGGGTTCAAGAGCACAAATGTTACATCGTGGCTACTAACGATAAAGACTTACGACGCAGGATTCGCAAAATACCGGGTGTCCCCATCATGTATGTCCAGCAGAAACGTTATAGTATCGAGAGAATGCCAGACGCTTTTGGGGCTCCACGGACTTGAATGTTGGGAAATATGTTTTGATTCTTTTATTTATGGGTCACTTATCTTAATTTATTTTTATTAGCCGGGAACAAGAACCTGACCTGATCGAAAACTAAAGTTGTGAAGTTTCTATTGCTTGTTTTTAACTTAGTTTGTTGTGAAAAGCTGTCTGGTATTTTGCCACGAGTCGATCGTCGCGTGCGCGGCGCGCATGACATAGATAAGTTTACTGGTAGCTGGTTTGTTGTTCTGCACTGGGTCCCCAGTTTTTTCTATTTCAGCCGAAGCACATTTACCAGAATAAGAGGGTTCCTGACAGTTTATTCAGATCATTTCAACTGTACTTTTGTTTCTGAATTACTGTTTTTATATTCATCACTGATCACGCTCTGTCAATTCGTTATAACTAGCTGCGTAGAAACACATACCCTATTTCAATCTCAAATAGACTAAAATGAAACACGAAATCTTAGCACATGTTAAATGAAAATTCATATTAAATAATAATTCATAAAGTTAGATTTGAGACATTAAAGCTAAACAAAATACCGGTTAAGCAATCCATTCTGCACAGCCGACATACAGAGGATTGGCCTGGAATCATCCTAGTTTGATGCATCTTTAAACTGTGATTGGTGCACAACGTCAATCAATGATCATAAACAATAAACGGTCAACATATTATATTGGTCTTGATTGGATAAAGCCCTTGGAACTTCGCTTGATTTATAATCATCCAGTAACTGAAAGTGACTCGATACCAGGTCATAAACAAAAAGTAGATTACACTGCAATAAATAAGTGAGTTCAATCATCAGGAGCCCCGAACAATGATCCTGGCTCTGGAAGGGGTTCTAGTTTGGTAACGGTCGTCAGATCTGGAAGACTGTTCAGGTGGGATTGCAGTTGAGATCGCACTGCTTGGACTTTCTGTAATTTTCCTTGGTACTCCTGAAATTGGCAGCATTAATCATGTGTATCATATACATTCGCAAAATAAAATCAACCTCATTACAAAATCAAAAGATGGTAATTATTGGTGCCCATGAACTTTTGTAGAATTGCCGCCAAAATGACAGTCAAACGAAAACCCGAGATTGAATGTGAAATAAAACACAGTAGGAGCTTCAAAATTAAGTGTTCTGTGGTAAGATGAGCTCATGTTGTTCGGTTTTCATAGTATTGCAAACACAGAAGATGACCATAGCCGAGGGTATTTGTAATTACCGGTAAAACTGCACATTCAAACTAAAAGGTGCAGGGATTGATTTCATTACTGCGCGCGTGCTCCTGTCATGTCATGTCATGCGCGCAACGCACGTACCAAATTCGATTTGGGTTTCTAATGGCTTTTGTCGATTGGCGACAGCGCGTTACAAACTTGATGTCAGAGATCATGGTTCGAAAATTTCCTGATCATCCTAATCTGAAAACCTAAACATTAAAAATAATTCACCAACCGTTAGTCTACTTTCTACGCTACGAAGCTGCTCTTTTTGATGCATAACGAACTCTTTCAGCATTGCTGCCACTTTGTTTCGCTCTTGGAACTCCGTCTAAAGTTAAACAAAATAACAGCATGAAATTTTCTGATAAACATACTTATCGCATTATTCGTTCAAAAAATTACCTAATAAGGGACTCAATTGAGATATGCATACCTGAAGTCTGATTCTGTGTTGGGACAGTAATTCGTAACTGCTATCAACTGATTTTAATAAAGTTTCAAGACGTTTTCTATCAGTTATCTTTTCGACAGCTTGTACGTTCCAAACTTCATTGGGAATGGTAGAGAATTGTTGTTTTATTCTGGTGTCTTGAAGTGCACTGCCTCGCTCCAAGTTAATCAGCGATCTTATAACTGTATCAGGGTCTGGGGCTGGATAGCGGGATTAGCAACACACGTCACATTGAACACGTGACTCTAAAATTGCAGTCAGAAAAAGTCAGAAAAACTTGAAAAGAGAGGTATTTGCAACTAAACTGCGATTGTAGTCTACAAAAAAAAAACTGTTTGGGATATAAGGTGACATGGTCGTGACGACGGTAAACACATAATATAACATATAATTAAGAAAATAAAGATATATTAAGTTACCAGAATCAGAAGTTGATCGTATTCTCTTCTTAGTTGGAGACATTAAAGTACCGTCAGTGGTATCTTCAGATTGACTCTCACTCCGCAGCCCCTTGGGTCGATACGATTGTAATTTATCTATAAAGTCTTTACCGAATATCTCTCTTTCTTTCCAAATCTGCAGGATTCTGTCGATCTGTTTTATTGTTTTTAAGTCTTCGACAGCACTCCTGAAATATTGGCACTGTTTAGTTAGTGATAATCACCGCAACAAGTTAATAATGGAACTCACACAAGAGCACTTCGTTAGTGTTATCTGAGATCACGACAGTTGCGACTATAAACTGACGTACGCGGTACTTAACAATATGTTATATAATATACAGAATACAGATACATTTATATAAATTTATATAAGTAATTGAGTAAGCTGATTAAATAAAGTTAGTCACCTACGATTAAATTAAAAATATAAAAGAATTACCAATACATTCCAATTTGTAAAATAATATCCAGTTTAGACACTTACTTGTAGGTGTGGGAGAGGGCATCAGGTAAAACTCTGGAAAATTCCTGAGTAAACTCATTTCCTTTTCGTTTACTGTTCTGAATAATGTCGTTGCTAAGAAACATGAACAACAGCTTCCGTTCCTTTGGCGCTGCAAATAATTTACGTTTTATCAGTGAATGTTAGTAAAGAGACAATGTGTTTTGCACTGGAAACTGGAAAGAGCCAGACAAAACTCAGTTTCGTACAAGAAAAGGCTCGACATTACATAGCTCAACTCGAGATAAAATTTCTTTCTCTATTCTCTGCAAAATTTGAGTTTATGACCAATTGTACTGAGAGGGACATGTAAAGAAATCACACCTCAAGTATCTCTCAAACTAAATCAAACAAAGTAATTATCAATAGTTACATTTGGTGAGCTGTTGAAACCAGACATCTACTATCTGCTGAGCATTTCTCCGATGGTGTATAGCCCAACCACTCAGTGTCTGTATACTCTGCTGACTGTTGTTCAGTTCTATCAACTTTCCTGCAGGACAGGGTTTGGTATAGAAACAACATGCTTGCTTTTCAGTTTAATATCTGTTATCTATTTGGGATCAATGGTAGATAACGTAACTATTTCATTTCTTTTTCAAATTATTATTAAAGTAAGATTATTTTAAATGATGGAGATAACGTGGAACATAAATTCAAAAAGACAGTTAACAGATTTAAACAATTAACATTAATTATTTAAGTCTGTAACTTACCAACAAAACTCCCAGTGTTGAAAGACATGTTGGCTCCTCCTCTAGACCTATGTTATCATCCTTCATGAGGACAGGTTGAGTTATAATATATCACTAAAGTTAATAATCTTAGAGATTTAAGTGGGGAGCACTGTTAGAGAGCAGGAATGTAATGTACCATCAATTAATTATAAAATTGCATAATTGATTCTACACGAGAGGTTTCAGGACTCAGGTGTACAAAAGGATTAAAATTTCCATGAGGCCTATGACATGAGTCGTAATAAGACAGCAAATTCTATTATAAAGCTTTCTTAAAACAAATATTTACATAAATAGTACAAATAATTTAGAAGAATGCTAAATGGGATGCCGATTCTATTAAGTAGGTCTGCTTCTTTTTTGATCTCGTGAAATGGCATTATAATTATATCAAGATTCATGGACAGAAAGGATTAAAGACATTTTGATAAAATTTTCCATTTTTCAAGGCAGGGAATTTTTCAAGAAAACTTGATTAGTTGCTACATATAATTTCAGGTTACAACTTTCAATTGTGATCTTTGAATGGAAAATGTAGTGCTATACATTTAAACCGCAAATTGTATCGTTTCCTTATCTTAGAGATATTATCTCTCTATCTTCTCTATTTGACGAATAAACTGATGAAGAAAATAAAAAAAAAAGAAAGTAGGCTTTAAAAGTTGGAGAGTTGTTATTGTAATAGGACGACAACCCATTAAAAGATATAAGACTGAAAAGCAGAGATAACTGATCAACTAATCAACCAAGAAACTAATTAATGTAAAGAAACAAGAAAACCAATACCCCTAAAAATAGTCCACTGTAAAAACAAGGTTTATATTAAGTGCAAAATGCGACATAGTACATAGTTGAACTGACGAATTAGATACTATCTAGAATATATTGGAATTATCGAGTTTATGGCACGGTTGTTCCCTGATCAACTTTTTTTTTGAAAATTTATGTTCGGTATAAAGTCACTCAATTTTCGTGATAATAGAATTTATTGTCCTAACAACCTAAACCTGAATCCATGCAGGAACATTCAAAGAAATTTAGTCGAGGAATTTATTCATCAACTTATTATTCTATCTGTATTGGTATATTATTATTCTTAAAATTCCCATTGCTTTAGCTACTGTAACTGCTATATTGATTCAAGTGAATTTGGATTTTACTACAATTGTAATTGTTAAAAATTGTGATCGAATAATCATCTGCTTGTGTGACATAAAACACTGTCATTTATTTTTGTCATGCAGTTTAAAACGGTAAAACTGCAGCAGTTTTACCGTTTTATGGCTTTGAGTGGTGCTCAATTATTTGGTTTCCAGAGATTGATAGTTTCCCATAAATTAGCTCTCTGGAAAAATGAGTGCATTCAGATAGTCTCGTTGGAAGTTCGAAGAATGAGGTAGTTAGACTATCATACTTCAATCATCTGCATTTTTTAAAAACGAGCGAATATTAAAATACCATCTCATTACTAACATCATGACAGTTAGGCTTTAAAATTAGCTCCAAAACATTGGCTTCATGCGCACAGTGCACTTGTAAGCTTACAGTAGCTAGCATATCAAGATGCTAATTCAGTTCCACCATTGTCCATCTGTTTGAGTAAGCGGAACAGTCCGGCTGCTTCTCGGATTCTGCTAAAATCAATGCAAAACGCCTGAACTTCAATGAAAAGGTCCTTGACATCAATGATATTGTTCCTTATGAGGGAGCTGAGGAAAACACAAACAAGCCTTACAAACCTATGTTGGATGAGCCTGTCCTTGCAGTTTTCACAATGTGTAATACACTTGGTGATGTAATGGTGGATGTACTCTGGGGGTAGGACCACTCTTCCAAGAAGTTCGTTCATCACCTCCATTGAGTGAACCGATAGCTCCATATTAACTAAAACTGTAAAGTATTCCGTCAGTTGATTGCTCTGGGACAGGTGAAGGAGAACCTCCAGCGCAATCTTACAGTTATTCTCAACTAGCAAGGGCAGTTTAGAGGGAGATAGACCTATGTGGTATATCATCTTAGGATTCTTGTTAATCTCTTCTCTGATGAAATTCTGTTGCAGCTGTGGAAGTGTACCTTTTAGAGCTTTCCCGATCAACTTTCGTATCTCCATCTCAGTAGTGTTGTTGCTGACAAAAAGTGGTTCCCATTCGAATGTATACTCACAGCCGTTAGGATTCAACCACAGCAGTTCATTAGAGTCCTCATGTAATGGAGGTGGTGGTCGAACAAATGCAGGTTCAAAGGTGGACAGGGATGGTGCATGCGAACCTGAGACTAAACTTGAAACAACATCTTTTAGCTCAGTGGCACTCTTATCTTCACTCTCACTATCAGGTATAATGGCTGATGTTCCTGATGTTATCTTAGCGTTACATTTTCCGTTCAGTGCAGAGGTGAATCGTAAGTGCCTAAAATCTGGTTTGGTTGTACATTCTTGAGCAGCTATGATAATCTGATTTGGATTCATTTTAAAAATATCCCTGGCAGAGGGCGAAGTAATAAGACTGATGAAATATACTTCAGGTGAAACTTTTGTATTGGAGTTATTATTGGCCTCTTGGACTAAACTGTGAAACAAAGGCGCAAATGGATTAACGCTAAAAGATTCAGATCGATACATTTCAAAGAGAAGATACAATGCAGCAATTCTCTCAGCTGGACGCTCAAGCAAATCTTTGTTCTGTAAAAGTGTAATTAATGCCATTCCTACTTTGAAATGTTCTGATCTGTTGAAGTCCTTGTGAAATGAGAGAGCGATGGCATCAAGGTTGCTACTGAGGGACGTCTCACTACTGATGATGTGTAGGATTTGATCCAGCTCCTTGTTTGATAATGCCATCTCCTGAAATAAAGTAAGTTTTTCATTGATGTGCAACTAATTGAATGTAACATGGAACAAATAATAGCATCCAAGTAACCATTCTAAGATCAAAACATGCACACATCATCCAAAAATTTATTACGCGCAGTTACAACTGACAATGCCATTCATCTCACAATTTAAAACTTTTAGATTCAATTCAAAATAAATCTTCAAAATAATTTCAAAAAGAAAACTGTTGGTAAGGCAATTCTCCCTTAAATCAATGGATACTGCAATAAATGTATCTTGTGAGAACAGTGAAAAATCGTTGAGCAAAGCAGTAAAAAGACATATTCACTGAGTTTCATGTTTCATTCGGATTAATGAGACAAAAGCTACATATTTTAACTGATCTACTCCATTTCAATCTTTAATATTGGTACATTTAGAAAATTAAAATATTATAATAACATGAAGTGCATGTGTGCATTGAATATGAGCAATCTACACATCAGGCCTTAATTATAAGAGGCCTTAAAGGTAAAAAGATCATGGATCTTGTAGTAAATCAAAATTTTAGTAAAGGGCACTTTCAAAAACTATGTTAACAAATCTGTCGCGGAAAAAATTTCATCTTCTAGAAGCTCTCAATTGGTGGATATACTCCATATATTGATCAAACTGTGTGACATCTACAAGTTTTTACAATAGTAGTAGCAAGATTAGCAAAATTAAATGCTATAATAAATCCTTATCTTTTCGAAAGATTAATCTTTCGCTTAAGATTTAGCCCCTCCCTTTCTACAATTTCAACACAATTTCAACACTAAACAATTCGTCACTTGAACATTTCAGTATGATGGAGCCCTGATCAGCTGCTAGATCGACCAAACGAAGAGAAACGAGTTCAGTAGATTGTTCTTGTACATGAGACTCATAACCAATACTTCCACTGCGCGGCTCACTCCAAAGGGGATAGGAAGGGGGTTGCAGAAGACTCTTGGAATTTCAGACCATCCTTCCGTCAGTAGTAGGTTTTGTAAACTCTCTTGCCAAAATTATATTGGTCAACAAGTTCATCGGCTTTACTCAGTGAACGGATCAGGTGAAAAGAATATTCAAACAATATACACATAATATAGCAATGGCCAATTGGCTGACTATAAGGTCATGGCCTGAACTTTAATAGTCAAGTGATGCTAAAGCAGAGCACAAATATGTAATAAGTTAATAGATAAAAATACTGATTCAATGATTAAAATTATAGCTGTGAGTGTCAATAAATTACTGTGTCATAAAAAAAGGAACGATGTACACGTGATCTGAGATACCAATATCTCAATATCAAAAGGATAGTGTCTAGAAACATTCATAGTCCATGGTGGCAGGTATCAAGTTAAACGAAGTTACACTGACTGGCAATGTATACGATTGCCGTCTCCCTCTCTCACCCCTGACCGCTATCAGGGTGCTCCTGAGGATTGAGAATCTAATCCTGGTGCGCATGTAACACATAATAGCCGCATAGTCTTCTCCTCTCTTCTGGGATAGTTTTTCAGCGAGTCTCTTGTGGTATCTTGTGGCTTGTGGACCCCATCCGCCATTTGTTGAGTATATAAGTGGGGTAAAGGTGCCTTTTTCCACCTGGATGATTCTGTTGTTGTACTTTTTCATTTTCCTCATTTCATGAGCTTTATAGATCTGTTCCATATCTTTTTTGACATATGTGGGTGAGTTGGGGTGGGTAACACAGACATCAAAGAATGTTTGTTCAAATGTGCTCCAGAGACCTCGTGAGGATACATCAGGTGCAGCTCTATCAGCATTGGTACCAACAATTTCTTCATTATCAAGGGGTATCAATGCTGGCTCAGTCACTACATCTCTGCATACTTCACGCTGCAGCTCTGCATTTAGATCGCGGATGTTGTTGTGTCTCATAGAAACATAGCCACCTTTCTTGCATATAAGTGTGTGATTCACATTATTTCTCTCTCCACAAGCACAGTGAAATGGGGTGTTAGGGATCTCCCAACCATAACGCAAGTACAGAGCATCACGGAACTCAATCTTGTTCAGGGAGTAGCCAAATCTCTTCAATGGAAGTGCAGTAAGCCAACATCCTGAACCTTTCTCTTTGATGAACTGGAGAGATCTCTTTAGGTTGGGATCTCTTACACTGTCCTCTATTGATTTGCTAACCGTAAATAAGTGTTTCTCCTTGATTGCCTTGAGACTTTTTATAATGTCATTTTGAATTGACATGTTGTAATGTTCAAGGGTGTTTTGCTGGTTGATAATCAGGTCTGTGAGGTCTTTTGTGATGGTGACTGAGGCTGTGAATTCTCTATTGCAGTTTTCAACTGGGTTGGAGATACCTAGGCCACCATGTCTGACTGGCAATGCAAATATGGAGCGGTCCAAGTCTGATACGTTCTTACCCAAGATTGCTGGAATAAAATCTGTTCTGATGCAATCCTCCAATGGTTGAAACAAGTGACTTATACCCGGGATGGTCCTCTGAATGAACGTCCACCGGTGACAAATTCCCTTAGTATATGCAGTCAAAGCAGCTTGGGGCTCCTCAACAGCAATTGATGACAACAGCTTGATGTCCTGACACCATTTATGGACTTTATCTGAGACATATTTGTTCTTAAAAGCTTCGCTGCCAATTGCTGCACCCAAATGGCGTTCTCCTTCAGACTCAATTTTAATACCAGTGCCTGAGAATACTTTCTGCGCAAGATCTAGGTCCTCGCTATTCTTCACAATCAGGACGGTCTTACTGGCTTTTGGGTAATATCCATACTTTGGTCCTTGCTCCAACAGCGTATCCCACCATATCTTAATACCTTCAATCTTTCCACCAGCACTACTGTCGTCTGCATACCAAGACTGTTTGCAAACACTGGGCTTGGAGGCTGTGGCTAGGTCATCTACTAGAGGCTTTATCCCTAACGCATAGAATGCCATTGCTGCTACATCTCCCTGAGTTGAACCTTCCTCAGACTTAAGTTGGTAGTGGTCCTCGGTAGTATTAATGATCAGGTCTGCTGGCTTTTGGTAGTGGTTCTTTAGATACTGATAGAGCGGAGGACAGATCTCATGAACATTGTGAAGGGCTGCTTCTCTATTAAGACGATTGAACGCATTATCAGCGTCAACCTGTAGTATTGCTTCAGTGTCACTGTCTTCCCAGATCTGTCTCATTGCATGAATGGAAGCCTCTATTCCTGATTTGAGCCCTGCACAGGTCTGCAGTGGGCCAGCAGCATATTGTATATCAGTTTTGAAAGACATTATAACTGCTTTTCCAATGATTCTGCGCAATATCTCCCCGATTCCAATTGGTCTTACACCAGGTTTCCCGTTCTTATCCTGGCCTTTATCAAGAGGGATTAATCTGCATGCAGTGAACTCTTTCAGACAGCTATGATGGATATCTTCTCTACAAAGGCGCCTTGCAACAATTGCTATAGACTCAGCAAGTGTCACTGATGCTTTGCCAAATGATTTGCTGCAGATGATATGCTTCCACAAATCTGAGTCCGTTAGTGTTGGGCCGCCTGATCCATCCAAATATAAACAAGCCCTCTTGACAGTCTCTGCGTCAATCCTCTCAAATATCACTTCCTGAGGTGGAGGAGTACTGTGAGGGTGCAGAACAACTGGATCTGCTTTAACAGCTGGAGGGTGTTTCTCCCCAAGGACCTGTTTAATGTTTGCTGTTAGGCTGTGAACTCCTAAGGTGTCATTGGAACTGTCAACAAATTTGGTGGCTTGTTTAACTTTCCCAAGAAGCATTAGTCGGCAGAAACTCTTCTTCCCGGATTCCTCGCTGATTTTTTGTTGCTGCACCAAGGCTTTCTGAATACTCCTGCACTCCATCATTAGATCGTCAAGTTCTCCATTTTTCCATTTAACCAAGCGCTTGGTGAGATATGTTACATGGTCTCTTGCTTTTGACTTGCTTGACGGTTTTTGCAACATGATTGGCAAGAAGATATGAACCAGTGCGAACGATAGCCTTTCCCACTTGGTAGCATCTGCAAATAGGAGGATGAGCCGAGTCAGTTCTTTTATAAAGTCGCTACCTGATTTACCTCTGGGAACTAGGAAAAGATTCTTTCTCCATGTCACCATCTCTTGATAAACAGCTTGGACTTTCTCAGCTATCAACTCTTCACCAACCATTGAGCCCCAATTAATTTTGTTTGCTTTCACTGCTTGACAAGTATCACAAAACCATATCTCTTCATTATCCATCTCAGCGTACTCGGTTTCACTGATAAACAAACAAGGTGCATGGAACCATTCTTCACAGCCATCACAACCCAATGCCTTATCCGAATCCCCCACAACACTCCTACACACGGGACAGTTATAACTGATATCATTTTCCTCGTCAGGAGCATCAATGATCTGCTGGTTCTCTACATTATCCCTACATTTCTGACAAACCCACCGGATCAGGTTGGAAATCGTTTCAAGTTTATGATAGAATAGAAGATTTACTTTCTAGGCCATTTTTGGTGGATATACTGGAGCTTCAAGATTGATTTTATTTTTAAATCAATTTCAGTGTCAATAATGCAAGGTATCCATTGTTAGACCCCAATTATTTTTTTTTTTCATGCTGATTTAAATGCCATTAAAGCATTTGAACCAGTCAAAAAAGTTTAAATTGTATATCATTTACGGTTTTTGCGGAAAGTCGTGTTAAAGTTGATGCCGTGGTGTCAACAACTATACACACGGTGGTTGATAGTTCTGGAATTGTGACTCTGAGAGAATTAATAAAATGTTTCAAACAGTATACACATAATGTCACAATGACCCTATTAAAAAATACCCTTGAAAATCACCCTTGGCCTTGCGGCTCCAAGTTAAAATCTAAACTGTCTATATTGACAAAGTTCTTTCTCGCCCCTGTCTCCCCGGAGAGAAATTACCGTCGTTCTTAAGATTTCGAAACGAAGGCGCTTCCTAAGACTCTGAGAGAATTGTCTCTTAGTTAAGTGAAACATGGCCATCGATTTAGCAGGTTAGAGTGTGGTTGATGTTATTTGGTTTACCACAGACAGATAAAGGATTTCTGTTAGCTGGGGACAGTGTTAGGTTGCGATATAAATGGCGAAAACACGGTGTGTTCTGCAATCTATTAATCAGAATATAGATAGTTTTTAAGGTTGTTCACCTGAACCATGAACGGATTGGTTATTAACAATTTTACCAATCCGGTGCATCAAGTGGGGTATGATGAAGCATATTAGAAATAAAAACTTCGTGAACATCAGAGTTCTAGTAAGCACCAAAATATACCATATATGAAAAGAAGCATGTTATATCTCCACCGAAAGCACATTCCCAAATTGCGCGCGTTGCAGTAAGTTCTTGCAAACCTTATACTATATATCATTGATCGTAGTACAGTATAGATCTATAGTGCAGAATCAAGCAGATTGCAGAATTAATTGTAAGTTATAGACATATTTCATACGTATCAAATTGGATGTGCTTTCGGTACGTGGAGACATAGCAGGCGCTATAGGATACAAGGATACAAGGATACAAGGATATGATACAAAAGTGATAATTATTTTATTGAATTCACAATAGTTATAATTCTGAAATAATTTAAGGTTACAAATTCTAGTTATTTACAAATGTGTAGGGATAAAATTACCTGAGGACCCCAGGCTATTATGTTCATTAACATAATAATTACTGGGCCGCGCTCAGCCTGTCATTCCGCCAAATCTTTATTCGTTAAAGCCTGGGGTCCTCAGGTAACATAATAATAACCGAATAAAGATTTGGCGGAATGACAGGCTGAGCGCGGCCCAGTAAGGATAAAATAAAAATGTTTTATAATTAAAATCATTAAAAGATTATTCAAACAATATACACATAATATAACAATTACCCTATATAAAAATTCAATATAAATTCAATAGAAAACTAAATAAACACCCTTTAAGTAGTATAAGTAAGCCAGTTTAAAGTTGTAGGTTTACAACCTACCAGGACGCGCGCCGAGTTGGACTCGTCGACGGTCCATGGAACAGATATTTTACGAGTATCACCCGTTAAGTTTAAAGAACTGGCTCCAAATTTATATCTAAGCCAAAATGTTTTATAATACTATTTTGAGGTGCTATATGAGAATTATATAAATCATGTCTCTGTCGGCACACATACTATGTACTATTCATTGATTTGACACATGTGTTAAATTGTGAAGATCTTTCTAATATTGAATTTCTAGGGATTGGTGTGTCAGGTAGAACTCCGATGAACCAAATAAATTATAAATGCAAAGTAACAATGGAAGAGCTAATCTAATGAACAGGTTGCAAAAAGAATTTTTATATTTAGAAACTAACCATACTATCTTTTAGATTTATGTCACTTATGTGTTATGATGGCTTCGGCTGAAAGTACTCATTTTATCTAGAAGATTGTAGTTTCATTGTTTCTGAAGTAGCTATCAGTTCGCCGGTGAATGTTGGGTATACTACTCTTGCAAAAAGAACTATTTGATGCGCGGCCCAGTAGTGCATCGCGCTCACAGGGAGACTCGCGCGCGCACCATTTGCAGCAGTCATCAGCAGTTAACAACAGTCAGCAGCAGTTTCTTTGCACTGTAGTCTCCCTGTGCGCTACGTAACTCATAACTGGTAATATATAACGCGCGACGAGGTTGACATCGTCAATCAAGAAAAAGCGCCGTGCATAAAAATTTGCGTGCTAGGTAACGTGCACTAAGCTTAAAGTTAAAACGGTGTCACGTCTCATTGCGTATTGTTTTAACAATTAACGGGTGATACTCGTAAAATATTTGTATCACGTCATGACCCCTATTGTCGTTTTAGCAGTTATATCTTGTATCACGTGGTGCAGCGACCCCCACGGTTGCTTCACTATAGAGTTTCGACGATACAGGAAAGAAAAATTTTAGGAAAGAAAAATTTTTATTTACCACAAAACAATCAATACATAATGTTATATTCATAAATAAATTCAAATTTCAATTTCAAACACATATACAGTACGCCGCGCACACAGCCACAATTTTTAATTGTTCAGAAATTCGTAGGTCAGCTGTAGGCGCCGCGCACAGGATCTATTTAATTGTTATCTTACAATTACATGTCGCATTTCTTAATTACTAGAGCCAAAATTTCAGAAGCAAAATAATTTAAAACATATTTCTGTCGTTCACGCAGTACAGGTCGTGAGCACTGCGATCTAATTAATAGATCGAATAATAATAATGGAGAAATTCCAAAAACCGCGCGCTCGTTATTTGTGATTAAATTGAGTGCGCGCCTCTGTGAACCGCAGTACCGCTCAAGCATGAAGTACTAAGCGGTACGCAGTTCTGCGTGAGGCGTAGACATTTGTAGCACACGTTTCATTCAACTAATCAATTATGTGACATGTAATTATATTAAAGCAAAAAGAATATTAATTTTAGTAATAATTGACGTAAACATATGTGCTTAAATAACATTTATAATCTAGCGAGCTGGCTTTGCCCTTGGTGCTTCACTACTAACTTTCCAAAACCTGGTACAAACACAGCAGCCAAAATGGACCAGACTCTCCTAGATAGCGTTCACTACAGTAAGAATATACAAGTCATCTCAGACGCCATTTCAGGTGCTGTGAACCAGAGCATGCCAACCCTAGAGATTTCATCCCTTGAGATCAGACTAAAGAAGCTCAGCGAGGAGATCTCCAACTTCCAAAGATCACGAGAGCCTGGGACCCACATCACACCAGACCCCAAGCCTGTATCCAGGCGGGTCATACAACGTATGACAAGTTATATTGGGGCGAAAGCCATGCGATACAGCCCACGAGCCGCGCTTGCACTCGTGCGTGGCGGGTATACACCGTGAGACGGTAAAATACTTATTTCAAATATATTATATAAGATCGTCGACTCGCGATCGCGCGAGTCCAACTAAACTCGGCGCGCGTCTTGGTAGGTTATAAACCTACAACTCATTGTCACATGTCATGTGTCGGTTTTCTATTTTAAATTCATCCCATCATGTATAATGGGCCTACGCGTACTACATGACGTACGCTACTGCAAGCGTGAGACTGCGAGGGCTCTGTTCCTTATCAGAGAGGGCTCTGTAAGTGTACCGGTCCTTATCAACTATTATATGATATGCAGCGCGGAGAGCTGACAAGCCATAGATGATCATGATATAATGATACAGGATACTGATAGACCACAAGTTGACGTAGTAGTTTAAGTTAGTCTATAAAAATCTGAAAATTACAAGTAACAAAACTTCATTTCAAGATTAAAAACCGGTAAAATCTAGTTTACTGACAATATAAGATAACTAACACTTGAATATTTATAGAATAAATAAATTATAGAATTGAGAAATCAGAGGGATCGGACGAAAGACAAGTTTCAACTTTACCGACGGGATTGCTGAACCAGCAACAGGGAATTTGAAAGGACGTTAATTTACATCCGATTTAGCTTGTAGGTTTACAACCTACCAGGACGCGCGCCGAGTTGGACTCGTCGACGGTCCTGCGACCTGTGACCATTGGTGGCAGGTACTTTTTGTCCTATTACGTCACGGCGCAGTACTGCACGCACACTACACACTGATAAAGCTTCTCTCAGATCACAGTTTAAGTTAGAGATAAAACCTAGTTAGATCATATATCAGTTAGTGATTAACAAAGAAAACAAAATATTGAAACAACGGATTATAATATATAATGTTTATCTTTCTAAATCCCGTGCACAGTGTAACATTATGAACTGGAATTGTCATCTTAAATTCTTTGATCGGAGCAACATCTTGAAGATTAACTCAATCTTCAAGTTCAAGCGTTCGGCATTATTGTAGAGGATTTGTAGAAGAACGTTTTGGCAGTAACTGAAAGTAATTCGTTTTAATTGATCAAAGCGGTTGAAACTCGGTTTATCAGATGGTTTGGGAGTTAAGACATGATGCATTACTGATTTAACTACAAAAACTTGACCCACAATTATGACTGTTCACAATATTGAGCCTACAGTGTGACTGAATTGTATTTGTAAGCCATATAATTATATTCCAAAAATTCTAGTATGTCCTCACCTACTGTATGTTTTACAGTTTCAGGAGAAATAGAGTATATATTATTCCCAGCAGTACATTATCTTCCAGAAATAATAAGGGCAAGACATTCCGGGCTCCGGCACAGCAAAATGAGAGTCAGAGATTAGAGAAGAAAGAACATTCTGAGTAACTTTGTCAGACGTCAGTATAGCCGTTTTCATGTCAGAGAGATCCTTCGGCGACTATCAGTATCACACAATGGCAGGTCAGTCCATCAGTAACTGAAAATAAAACCCATTACGTCAGTGTTGCTATTAGGAGCAAATGTTTAGATACAAACTGGTGTTATCGGGAAGGTTGGTAAGATATAATCAGAACTCGGCATTTTTAGGTTATACTATTCCGGGAACATTATATATATCGTATTTCTGTCGATAAATGGTTACATTTTTATGTACCATTTATCGACAAAAATGGGCAATTTGTGCGTGTGCATGGTAATTTTTAATTCTAAGTGGAATATGATACGCCCATGTGCAATGTGGAACCTACAGCGTGTAAAGAAATGTGTGTAAAGTATGATTATTTATAGATTACTGCAGCCTGCCGTAATAAAGTAATGACAAAGTAAGCGAACATGTACCTACATCTCGTGATAACATTTCGGTCATGAAGTTGGAATATTACATAACAACATATTATTTTAATTGCCCACTTCACTTGGAGAGAATTCAGGTACGTGTGCTAATAATTGTGTACATAATTCTGATAGGAACTTTAACGAAAATATAATACAAAATTGGTCGCAAAATTGAATATGGGATACTTAGGAGGATTATTGGGACAAAATTGGAACATTGGTTACATCGGTTCTAGACATGCAGTGATTCCCAAACTTGGTTTGAGTACTCCTAGGACTAATATTAACTCTTTCCGACCAATTTTGAACAATTTTGAGCACTTTGAGGATAATGTTCATGTTTGTTCATTTCCGTTCATTCCATGAACCTGGGTAATGTTATGTGACTTTTGATGGCTCCTAGGCCTAGTTTTTAACTATATCCATCTTAGAAAACCGAATTGAGGCTTCCCAGCACTCAAATACAGCCAATACTTCGATGTCCCCATGTTCCAAAAATCTGCAGATACTCGGGACGATTATTGGGACGAAATTGGCACATTGGTTACATCGGTGCTAGACATGCAGTGATTCCCAACCTTGGTTTGAGTACTCCTAGGACCAATATTAACTCTTTCCGACCAATTTTGAACAATTTTGAGCACTTTGAGGATAATGTTCATGTTTGTTCATTTCCGTTCATTCCATGAACATGGGTAATGTTATGCGACCTTTGATGGCTCCTAGGCCTAGTTTTTAACTATATCCATCTTAGAAAACCGAATTGAGGCTTCCCAGCACTCAAATACAGCCAATACTTCGAAGTCCCCATGTTCCAAAAATCTGCAGATACTCGGGACGATTATTGGGACGAAATTAGCACATTGGTTACATCGGTGCTAGACATGCAGTGATTCCCAAACTTGGTTTGAGTACTCCTAGGACCAATATTAACTCTTTCCGACCAATTTTGAACAATTTTGAGCACTTTGAGGATAATGTTCATGTTTGTTCATTTCCGTTCATTCCATGAACCTGGGTAATGTTATGCGACCTTTGATGGCTCCTAGGCCTAGTTTTTAACTATATCCATCTTAGAAAACCGAATTGAGGCTTCCCAGCACTCAAATACAGCCAATACTTCGATGTCCCCATGTTCCAAAAATCTGCAGATACTCGGGACGATTATTGGGACGAAATTGGCACATTGGTTACATCGGTGCTAGACACGCAGTGATTCCCAAACTTGGTTTGAGTACTCCTAGGACCAATATAAACTCTTTCCGACCAATTTTGAACAATTTTGAGCACTTTGAGGATAATGTTCATGTTTGTTCATTTCTGTTCATTCCATGAACATGGGTAATGTTATGCGACATTTGATGGCTCCTAGGCCTAGTTTTTAACTATATCCATCTTAGAAAACCGAATTGAGGCTTCCCAGCACTCAAATACAGCCAATACTTCGATGTCCCCATGTTCCAAAAATCTGCAGATACTCGGGACGATTATTGGGACGAAATTGGCACATTGGTTACATCGGTGCTAGACATGCAGTGATTCCCAAACTTGGTTTGAGTACTCCTAGGACCAATATTAACTCTTTCCGACCAATTTTGAACAATTTTGAGCACTTTGAGGATAATGTTCATGTTTGTTCATTTCCGTTCATTCCATGAACCTGGGTAATGTTATGTGACTTTTGATGGCTCCTAGGCCTAGTTTTTAACTATATCCATCTTAGAAAACCGAATTGAGGCTTCCCAGCACTCAAATACAGCCAATACTTCGATGTCCCCATGTTCCAAAAATCTGCAGATACTCGGGACGATTATTGGGACGAAATTGGCACATTGGTTACATCGGTGCTAGACATGCAGTGATTCCCAAACTTGGTTTGAGTACTCTTAGGACCAATATTAACTCTTTCCGACCAATTTTAAACAATTTTGAGCACTTTGAGGATAATGTTCATGTTTGTTCATTTCCGTTCATTCCATGAACCTGGGTAATGACTTTTGATGGCTCCTAGGCTACGGACACCTCAACTTATGTCGCCCCATTATTATTTTACCATTAGATTAGTATGACTGTACAGTGTACGTACGCCTATTGAGTATAATTGCAGTTATAAAAATTAATTACGTAGTCATCTTAGCAAAACAGTTATGGAAAAGTTTGCAACTATTTCAGTACAAACCATTAAACGTCTTTAGATCAATACAAGATGGCCATGGTTTAGTGTTTACTCTACGATCTAATATTTTTGGTTGAGCTTGATAGCAAGGTTGTAATTATTACACACCAAACACATACTAGTAACCACTCTAAACCAGCAAGGGGCAAGCTCGCAATGGGCGCAAGAAATGGGGGCCGGCACAAATTTTGAAAAGAAATCGCCTCAGCCCTCAAACTTCCAACTGCTAAATTCAATTCTTAGTTAATGCAGTGTGAGCATTTATTATAGGGAGCGTTCACATATGAAATCAGCACTATTATTGTCAGCAACTTTCAGCATTGAGCGACCCAACCTCCCCCCCCCCCCTCAAACCCCCTCCTCCCGTCAGCATTTCACAACCCCCTCCGGCCTCCCCCTCGGCTGCTGACGTCATATGTGAACGCTCCCTTATAACGCTCCCATGAAATGCAAAGTGTAGAGTTTCAGTTAGTATTGAGTCAGTTTAAGCGGGAAAATTTCGCCCACGTGCAGTGTAGGCTCCTCGCTACATGTTCAGTGTGCAGAAACAAATATCTCGCCAGACATTGATACTTTAATCAATTATGTTATAGTACAGTTGATAAAGGGTTATGTCTGTGTGTAGAAGTAACCCTATATTATCATATTGTGTGTTAGTTTGGTGTGAAGTATTATGTTCTTTTTAAAAACTAACAGTGTTAAACTAAATTGATATCAGTAAAAGAAGATATATTTTAAGAGGTAAAATTCATATAATTGACGATTAAGAGATATGGGAGTGTGTTCAGGGCTCTGAAAGTGGCATACTCTTATAGCAATGGTATGAAATGGTTAACTTTAGTCAAGGTCTCATGTCTCTACGACCTTCGCTTTTGGCGCAGTGAATCTTGCGCTTCAAGCGCAATGCGCAAATTCCTGCAGGAACTTCCCGACATTGTAGAGACCTGAGACCTCGACTTAAGTTAACCATTTCCTACTGTTTATATTAGAGGAGCACACATTTAGAACTCTTTCCATACTCCTTCGTGACTAAATTGACGATTTAGAGAATTTTACCTTTTAAAAATTGGTGAAAAATATGGGCGTGGCCCAAGTCAGTATTATACGAAACCGTAGGGACACAAAAAAATTGTGGTTGTTCTTGACCCTATAGAGCAACTAATTAGAGGTGATATCTAACTATTTGAACTAAAAGTGGTTTTGTGAACCGCCCTTTATTTTTTTATTCTACAGCGAGTAATTTATTATGAAATGACCTTTCACTATGCAATTTCGACTAAATTCATGTAGATATCCAATCCATTTCCATGCACAACTGTTGTTTACATTTGGTCTAGTTAGACACAATTTGTTTCAGAGTGACTCGATAATCGCAATATCAAATTAAGATATTATTTAAATGGTCCATGTCATGCAATGCGGAAATATCCCCATAAATTGGCAACTGCCAAAGTGACACTAAAGTTATTGCTAATTCCTTTACAAAACTTAGCAAGTGCTATTAACAATATCCTAATGGATCATGGAAATTGAAATGTTCAATTTTCTTTTCATAAATAATAATTATAATGCGAAGTTTTATTTACCCCAAGTTTGGAGAGTAAGTAGGTTAAACTGGGAATGCCCCTTCCCAGGGACCACATCATCCCTAATAAACCATTAAATATCATGGGAGACCATGCACAGCCGATCGATTATTTACGTACGCTTTATCACAGACACAGTATTAGTCATATAATTAGTAGGAATATATTGGCGGAGAAACATGCATTGTTTTGTTTAAACCAATTGAAAACCAAATTTATAGCTCCTATTTGCTGTCAATACCTCGCAGTGCCACTGCCCAGGGCGATTTAAAAGACCAAAAGGTACATGTTTTTGTTGATACAGCGTGATATTCTCTAAAGGCCAGAAAGTGTAAATTTGTGTCTCAAAATTTAATCTGGTGGTTTATAAGTGGTTACTAAAAATACTCTAGCACAATTGTAACTGCAGTTTTACAGAACTCTAAATGCTTAATGAACACTCTTGCAGGTACCACCACAATTTTCACACTCAGACCTGAGTTTAGTCATTTTCCGATACGAGATTGGGGACGGGTTCTATAAACAAACAAACAAACATATGTGGTTGCGGCGGTATAGTTCAAAATCTGCAACAATATGGTCAAGATTGCTTGACTGATTTTGTAATCTAAAAGATTGTCATTTGCATCGATAATTTTATCAAATCATTATAAATTTACCAGATCTGACGAGAATTCTGTTTAGTTTGAACAGGATATTTGACCACTGCTTCCCTTGCAAACCACATCGTTGATCTGGGTACCGCTCTTGGTTCTGTTGAAAATCTTATCCTGCAAGTAGTTGACTTATAAGTCTACAAATTTGCACAGAAATAAAATAACCTATTTCACAACCAAGTTGCATTCAAGTTAACAATAAATGACATTAGAAAATGATTTCACGATTTAATTTCATTAGAAACGGAGTCTATTAAAAAAATTCGAAAATTTCATCGAAACATATAATAGTAAACGACTAAATTAGCACTGTCTTACTTAGAGGGGTATGCGGAAATTATGATAAATTTATTTTGTGAGAATCTGAGATAACAATATCAGAGTAGGTCACCTTCGGGTTTTATCTTTCGTGATCGTGATCCAGTTCCAGGGGAAGTGTTGTCTGTAAACGAGCTTCAGCGAAAAAGCAAAGGGGAGAATAACAGTATAACTCCTCTCTCATATTCTAGTAAAATGTAGCAGTGCTAATTTGTTCGTCGTCTTCTGCAGGATAGTACTCTAGCGCTTTTCTAAAATCTGTCCGACTCTGCCCAAACACCTGGATAAATATATTGAATTAGTGAGATGTATCAATTTAATTACGTTTAAATAATCTAACTTTAAGTTTACAATGACACAAATGTATAACCTACCAACAGAGAAGAAGACAGTTTTGAAGAACATTGATTGATGAGATAGTTAAAGTTAAGAAAGAGTGGTATTATAGCACGGGCTTTTAATTCACCTGTTGGATTTTTCCCTCCTCTATCATATTCTAGTCAAATGTAGCAGTGCTTATTATTAATAAATATGTTCACCATCTTCTGCAGGATGGTACCCAAGCGATTTTCTAAAATTCGTCCGACTCTGCCCAAACACCTGGATAAATATATTGAATTAGTGAGATGTATCAATTTAATTACGTTTAAATAATTTAACTTTTAGTTTACAATGACACAAATGTTTAACCTACCAACGTCCAACAGAGAAGAAGACAGTTTTTACCTGTTGTAATATAAATTAAAAACTTATCAGTAGAAAATGATATTTAAAAATCACTTGCTTACATTCTCCATTCTCCATAACGAAAACTTAACTCTGCTTGTTCTCGTTAAAAGTTAACAGTACTTCATCTTGCACTAGATCAGTCCTGGCTAACGAAATTTTGAAGAGTATTAGTTCATGATAATCTCACAGAGTTAAATATTTACCGTATTTATACCGTTAAAAGCACACATTTTAAGGTTACTAAGCAACGACAAAAACCAGTAAAGAGGACTTATTTGTTTGTTTGTTTGTTTGTTTATAGAACCCGTCCCCAATCTCGTATCGGGAAATGACTAAACTCAGGTCTGAGTGTGAATACGGGTGGTACCTGCAAGAGTGTTCATTAAGCATTTAGAGTTCTGTGAAACTGCAGTTACAATTGTGCTAGAATATTTTTAGTATATACGATAGGTATCAGATATATATCCTTACATGCTTCCAAAATTTGTAAAGCCGTAGTACATACATATCACATTACACCGGAGCCTACATAGTGCAATCTCCTCCAGTCGATCTGCGCCGTGTATGTTTATATAAACGCGCGGCCCAGATTGGAGGAAACCACACTCTGCAAGTTCGATCCAGTAGAATGCTACATGTACGTACTACGGCTTCATCTCCAACTTTCTGCACAATGTACTGGAATGTTTTGAAGGAAGAAAAAAAAAAAAAAAAAAAAAACAAACTAAAATCAGCCTCTTTTTCTTTTAAAAAAAAATAATAAAGTATGTAACGTCGATACCAAACCGATCATTTAGCGATGATAACTGAGTAGTGGATTCCTGGGTTGCAGAGTCATTCAGATGTTTCAGTCTTCGAATGTGGTTCTTGTTCAGTTTTGTCCATGTTTCCTCGTGTTATGTTCAAAGTTTTAGGTGTCATGTTGTCCTGTGATGATAATTTCTAAAGCGTGTTATTTATGGGCTAACGTGTTTTATCGTGTGTAGAGTAGCGTAGCTTGAAGATATTTATTTTTATTTTGATTTTTTATTTGATTTTTTTTAAATGAAGAAGAAGTACATTGAGTAAAAGAAGTGTATGATGGAATATTAATTGCAATGTATCATAAGTGAATATAAGTAATGTATCCTGAGTGAAGTGAAAAAAATCCTAAATTGTAAAAACGGAAGGCTACAGTATAATGTAGTTACGGTATGAAAAATAGTTAATCGGACCCTCAAGAATTAGCAATAGAAATAATTGTATAGTAATGTAAATCATTGTACGTATTGTCTAAGGAAAATTTCGCTTTTTTTAATGAATGATAATAATTTAAAGGATTTTATTTTGACAAGGTCATTAATTTTAAGAACTGTAAAACCAAAGGTAGCGCTTCGTAAGGTGAATAAAAATGGGCAATTACAAAGAAAATGGACATTGTCTTCTGGTTCTAGATGGCATCGAGGACAGATATCTGTAGGTTTCTTTTTTATTTTAAACAAAAATGAGTATAGAGGTGCTCTGTTAGAAAGTATGTTGGTAAGTTTATGAAGGTCCGCTGTTGTCATTTCTGTGATGGTGGATAATGATTCTTTCTTATGGAGGGAGACAACTAGCTTATGAAGCTTATTAGTGGAGGGTGATGCTTCTAAAGATGATTTGCTTTGGGCGAAAGACCAACTTTTGAGTTTGGCTTTGAAGCTGGAGTACGGAACGGGGGTAACCTGTCCCACACTATCAAGACTGGTGGCTTCTTTTGCCAGGCTGTCCGCGAGTTCGTTTCCCGTTACCCCTGTGTGGCCTCTTACCCAGTGAAGCGTTATCTTTGATTTCAAACCTAGGGAGTTCAAGGCTTTTATGGTGTCTATTGTCATAGTTGAAGTGGGATAATGGTTTGACAGCGCATGGAGAGAGCTCATGCTGTCGCTGAAGAACTGAATGTTCCGATTGATAAAGTCCGGGTTATCAAGCAGGTTAAGTGTAGCTGCACAGATTGCAAACATTTCGGCTTGGAATACCGTTGAATGGTCTGATATCCGGATCTTTCCACAGTTGGGCTCTGCCGGATTTTGACAGTGGAAGATGGCCCAGCCGGATCCAGTTTTACCCTCTGAAGTTTTTGATCCGTCCGTAAAAACTAGGGAGCAGAAGGGTAGGTCGTAGAAATCCGACATGTCGATATTGGGTGAGGTATCGACGGTGAATTGCCTGTCTATATTATAGAATGGTTTAATGGTTCTGTCCACCGATTCAAATGGTAGGTTTTGGTCAAAGATATTCTGCTGAAGGTCCTTTCCAAACTTAGAGTGGGGAGTGAATTTGCCTTTGGGTGGTAAAGCTTCTATATAAGGGCTTGATGACTGTATCCGGTTTAAAGTCAAGAAAGCCGTTCTTTTTACGCTAAGGTTAACCGGTTCAATATTTGCTATAGAAGTTGTGCTAGTGAGTGGCGAACACTTAGATGTTCCTGTTATAGATCTGGCTGCCGTGTTGAAGACTTTAGTTAACTTGTTATTCATGCTCTTGTTCTGCATGGCAGAATTGGCCCAGAAGAGACTTCCATAAGTGATCGTTGGCCTTGTCACGCATTTATATATCCATCTGAGGGTTGTTGGGTTAAGGCCCCAATTCCTTGCCGTAGTTTTCTTGATCGCTGCTTGTTGGATGTTGGCCGCAGTTATCTTTTTTTCCAAGTGGGTAATCCACGACAGTTTGGAGTCTAGGTGCACTCCTAGGTATTTAACCGTAGTTGTAACTGGAAGGGGGGTCCCCTGGTACAGTATTGGTTGGTCCAAAGATACATTATGTCGGTGCGTGAATATTACGACCTTTGACTTTTGTGTATTTATTTGGAGACCCGCTTCCGTACACCAAGTTTCAATTGTCCGTACAACTGATTGCGCCCTTTGTCTGATGTCAGTTATCTCTGTGCCGGATATAGAGGACTTATTTACACGGATACTAAATACTCAAGTACTAATTAACAGCAAATTTTTTAAAAATACATATTTTATTTTAAAAGGAGGTTATCATACATTTAAAGAGTGTACACCGTCAGATCATTTTCCGATTGTATGTAGGAGTTTTACTCCTGTACTGCAGTGTACAAAGGCGATGAAATCAAGGGTTCTGTAATCTATTGTCTATAAGTCTGATTTAAACTAATTAACTAAGATATTTAAAGATGAAACTGTCCGGGGACCTGGAGACGATCAATTTAGTTCCAAAATGGCGTGTTCAGTCAGCTAGCCAAAAACATTATTACCACTAGACTACAACTAGACTATGTCACGTCATTAATAGCCAATGATAATTGCACTTTCTACGGATTCGATTATACAATTATAGCGATACTGGGTTAGAAAGACGCGTGATATCTCTTGGATTATCACCATGGTAACTGGGAGGTGTTCAGACTCAAAAGATTTACTTTACAAACTGAGGTCTATGTTTTAATATCCATGTTCAACGGATAATTGAAGCTTAAATAGTAGGTATGATATAATGTAATATTTACACAAATGGGTTCTTGTTATTGTAAGCAAATCATTCAGTACACACCGAGTGTAAACGGATGTATGGGAATTGGGATTTGGGACACACTTAATAGCTAATCGTAGTAGCCTTACGTTTAATAACCGATATATAACTGGTATCCCTCACGTTATTATATCAGGTCTGTTACTATGGAAACGTCCGAGGGGCTAGTTAAAGAATTCAACTTGGAAGTTTAGTCACAGTTCAATAAAAATTACTGCCACTAAAAGTAAAAGCCAATGATTAGTGTACTCTACGCATTCAATTATAACAATTTACTTGGTTACCAAATCGCGTGATATCTCTGGAATTATCACCATGGTAACTAGGAGGAGTTCAAACTCAAAAGATTTACTTTACAAACTCAAAAGATTTACTTTACAAACTGAGGTCTATGTTTTAATACACAAATGGGTTCTTGTTATTATAAGCAAATCGTTCAGTACACACTGAGTCTAAACGGATGTATGGGAATTGGGACACACCTTAGAAACACTTAATAGCTAATCGTAGTAGCCTTACATTTAATAACCGATATATAACTGGTGTCC